ACTTCTACAGAACAGTTTTCCTCTACCTTCTTTCAAAATGAAAATCACTTTACCGTGGCTGTTTCTGTGATTATAAAGGTAATACTATAGGCTCCATTCTGAGCCTGCCAAGGACAGAAAGAACAGAGTGAAATTTGTCCATAAGCTTGTCCCATCTGGATAGCTCCTGCTGACAGTGGTGTGGGTGCCTCTCAGCACGTCCCCTGTGTGCAGATTCTGCACACATCTGTGTTGCAAAAGAGATGCTCTTAGATACCACGTGACTAGGTCATCATCCTGTGGCTGCCCTGGGTGACTTTGGCATTTGGCTCACCAACACCACCTGCTCCTTCTCCCACTCGGCTCCCTATAGCCGGCCACCCTGCCTTCTTTACATCCCTCCTTCACACTCCCTTCCACTTCAGGGACTCTTGGCACATGCTGTTCTCTCTGCCTGAAATTCTCAGATCCTCTTCCAGGGCATTAGTTTTGTTCTTTTCAAGTTCAACTGAGCTGTTTCTTTCTCCATGAAGCCTTCCTGCCACCCCAGACCTGGGCTGCTCTCCCGTTACATCCTCCCAGGGTTCCATGGGAGTCACCATTGTGGTATCTCTCACAATTATACATAACTAAATGAACACAATCTGTTTGTTACCCTGTATTCCCATTAGAACATGACTCCTGGGGTGAGAGATGATGTTCAGCTTCTTTTGTTGAAATGATTCAATGAATTTCATTAGGGTTCTGTACAGGAGTATGAGTAAGGGGTTGTTTACAGGAGCACAGGCAACTTAGAAGTTGCCACATCACTGAAGAAAATCTCTCTCTCTCTCTCTCTCTCTCTCTCTCTCTCTCTCTCTCTCCCAACAACCATTAACTACCTATAAATTCTCTGGGCTGGGACCTCATGAGCCTCTCTCCATGATATAATGTTGATGATCTTGTGCAGATCACATGCAGGTAATCACACCTGCTGCAAGTTCAAGAGTACAATGGCCATGCCATGCTCAGAAGACAGCATCCCACAGCATTCCTCCCCTTCCTCCGGATCTTACATTTCTTTCCATAATGATCTTGCCAATCTTTCGGATCCATGTTGGACAAGGAGCCACAGTCCACACATGGGATTGGGTGAACGCAGGAGGCTGGCAGCAAGGATGCCCTGCCTGCATGTAATGCCCACTTCATTCTTTCCACACAGAGGGCCCTGGTCACCTGATTACTTGTGCTGGCTTTTCTCAGTGAGCAAAGGCTCCCATAAGTCAAGAAGAAGGGAGCATGTTCCTGGCATCTGGCCTCTTAGACTGGGAAAATGTGCAGAGCCAGGGAAATGTGCAAACCTCTGAGCTCATCCAGCCCACAGTGACACTGTCCACTGTCCACACTGGGAGACCAAGGCCCACATAGGGCAAGGATATGTCCACGCCCCCAGAGGCTTGGTGCCGGGTCCCAAGGCCTTGTCGACCCATGCACAAAGCAACTCCAGGCTTGGTCAGGCCTGGGTTTCCCATCTCTAATGTTCAACACTTCAAGCTGAGCCTGGTGGAGAAGCTTGTAATCCCAGCTACTCAGAAGGCTGAGGCAGGAGGATTTTGAGTTCAAGGCCTGCCTGGGCAACATAGTAAGTCTCTGTCTCAAAATTAAAGAGAAAGAAAAGAACAAAAGAGATGGGGATTTGGCTTAGATCTGGTGATGCCCCAGGTTTAATTTCCAGGCTCGGTGCAGGCTATCATTGGGAGGCAGTGACTTACAGAGTGGCAGTGTGAGTTCAAATCCCAGCACTGGCACTTCTTAGCTGGAGGGTCCTGGGTGAGTTGTACCATTGCTCCTAACTCTGTCACTTACAAAATGGGGACAAGAATATTCCTTTTTGGTTCACTGTTGCAAACATTAGGTAAGAGGCTGAGTGTGAAAACATTTAACTTGTTTAGTTCCTGACATGGCAGCTGCTAAACAAAAAGAGAACAAGAAGATGATACAAGACGATGCTGGTGATGATGACGATGATGATGATGATGATGACAGTGACAGTGAGAGATGTTCTCAGGCAGGACTGCACGTGAACTCCCTCTTGTACATTTCTTCTCTCCCTTTCTCTATACATGGACTCAACCAGAATTCATTCACTCACAAACTGGACCCTGTTCATGCATCTATTGTCACTGAGGACACTGCATCTGCCATTCCACCGAGTCCTCTGAAGGACCTGAGGGAACTTGCTCTGAGGCCCTAGGAGCAGCAATTGCTTCTAAGCACAGCTGGTCTGCTTCTACTAACAGAGAGCACATACCTACTTCCTTCTTTGACTTGGCAACCAGGAAGCTAGGCCAAACCTCTGGCCTGCCAGCAGCCGGTTTACAGCCCCATGTGGCGGGCGTTCTGAAGAAACCACCATCCTACTGCGTTTCACCTTTCTCTCTGTTCACAGTTTTCCCCCCAGTTTCATACTCATTAAAATAAACAAACATCCAGAATATGTTTAAACTTTAGGGGAAATAAGTAACATTGAAACCGTTCACAGTCCAATACAGTGGTACACTCCTATAGTCATAACTACTCGGGGGGCTGAAGCAGGAGGATGGCTCTCAAGGAGTTTAAAACTGAGCAACAGAGTGACCCTGTCTCAAAGCAAAATGGAACACAAATGTACACAGACTAAATTCAATGCAGTGCGCTGGGCTGGGCTGGGCTGGATCTCAGAAGAGGATAAGGACATTAGGGAAAAATACACAAGTAAACTGCAGTAAGTCTACAGTGTGCTTAACAGCGTGGCACTGAACATTTGCTGCAATTGAGACAGTTATTTTGTCTATGAAGTGGACTTTAGAGGAAGCTAGGGGAAGGATAATTGGTATTCTCTTTGCAACTTTTTGCTAAACCTACAATTATTAAAACAACATGAACACACTAGATGTGTCGGTACATGCCTAGAATCCCAGGACTTGGGAGATGGAAGAAGGAGGATCAGGAGTTCAAGGCCAGCCTGGGCTACAGGCGCCTTGTCTCAAAACAACAACAAATAAACAAACAAATCCCAAACTCACTAAATAAAACCTGCACACAGAACACCCAAAGACTTTCCTCCTGGAACTGCAACACAGCACTATCACTGCCTACTGCAAACAGAGGAAGCACCCAGGCCCAGGTACCATTCACAGAGCACATAGTATCTGCCTGACTGGCCTGGCTATGAACACAGGGCTGAACCCAACCCCCAGGGCCTTATGGGAATCCCAGGGTTGCGCCTGTGAGCTGTGTGACAAGGGCTCTCAGATATTGTGCCTGTCACACAGACTCACAAAAGAGCCTGTCACAGGGTCTATCGAAGTTCAATGACAGAACTGCAAAAGGTACTTCAAAGGCCCTGTGGGAATGTTAACGGTGGCCTTACAACTACAGTGACAGCTGGCGACTTGTGCTTGTCCTACCTCTGGACTGCTGCAACAAAGTCCTATAGATGGGGTAACTTATACTCAGATTATTGCTCACGGTTCTGGAGGCTGGGCAGTCCAAGATCAAAATGCTGGCCAATTCTGTACTTGGGGTGGACCCTCTTCCTAGGTTACAGATGGCATCTTCTTGCTTTGTTCTTGCGTAGTCAAATGAGTGAGGCAGTTCTCTAGGATCTCTATTGTAAGGGCACTAATCCTACTGAGAAGGGCTCCACACTCATGACCTCATCACCTCCCAAAGACCCCCATCTCTTGACACCCCTGCAGTGACTAGGGGAATACAGTCTACAGAAATGCAGGTATGATTAACATTAGTCTTAACTAAGGTTAATATTAGTTTTTACCTTTTCGACAGCCTGAGGCAGGAATGTTACTGATGGATGCTACTTAGGACAGGGAGGCCCAGGCAGGTAGAAGAGGCTCCAAGGTTGCACAGCCATGCAACAGAGCAGGGATTGGCACTGTCTTCCCTGAGGAAGCCAGACTACTCCCTAACAGGCCACATTTCCCAGGAGGAGCCAGTCGCTGCACCTTATCACAGTCTGTGTGCCAGGCTGGGGCTCTGGGCCTTTTGATTCCCCTACAAACCTTCCTCCTTTGCAGAGAACCAACACATGAGGCCAGGGTACCTGGGGCCCTTTCCTGCCGATACGGCCTCCTCTGACTCAGTCCCCACCCAATCTTGCACTTGGGCTAGTCACCCCTTGTCAACCTACAGAAGCATTCAAGTCAACCTACAGGGTTGCTCAGCTCAGTACTCCTTTTCTCCCTAGTCCATTTCCCTATCCACCTCTCTAGTGCCCAAAGCATAGCTCAAATGCCACCTGGACCCATGATTGATCATCATGTCATATCACTGTGGCCCCAGCATCCATAATGGGCCAAACACATGCTGTCACTGCAGTGATCTGGGCCCAGTGTCCTTGTGGGTAGTTGTTGGCTGCTTCCAGTAGGGTGCTCAGTACAGCAGGTTAGACCCTGGGTTTGGAATTCAATCAAGACTCCCTGGGTTCAAATCCTGCCCTAGGAACTACCATCTGTATGACCTTAGACAAGACAGTGAGACCTCTTTATAATGTGAAAGAATTCAGGAACCCCACTCCACCCTATTGAGCAGTGTGAGATGATACATTCGACATGAATCTCAAATGCTGGGCACACAGCCCTCCTTAGAACGTGAGCTAAGTGTGTCATTTCTGTAACTGTTGGTCTGAAGTGGACACCAGCCATGAAGCTGCCCACTGCAGCCCCAGTTTGCTGCTTTCTCTGTCCCCTTACCCTCCTCTGAATGTGTTACAATAAGCCCCAGGTCAGGGCCATCATAAGCCATCAACTGTTTGCAAAACAGCAGCCCGAAAGAGCTGAGCTGGCCCACTGCCCAGCATGGTGTAGACCACCCTGCTGCTGCTCGGAACTGTACATTAGAGGCCCAGCAGCCAGAAGGCTCCCCAGCTGATCGGCCCTTCACTGGGGTGCTGAGTGCCCTGCTGAAGTCTGATTAAAATCAGCTGCAAAGATCTTTCCCACCTGCATCCTCAGACGAGCAGCTTGCGGCCCACAGCCCCTCACCTTGAGCCCACTGCTTTCTGCTTCGGAGCCTGGGTCCACACCTGTGATATAAATACCAAGGCCGTACTCAGCTCCACCTCGGATCGTGAGGCCCAGGGACCGGCCGTCACCTAGCACCAGGTTCACCTGCAGGAAGGAAAGAAGGCACATTCACCTGGGGGAACCAGGCCCTAGCAAAGGCAGCATCCCACAGAACCCCTTCTAAGCCCCTCAAAGAATAGGACCCCAGCCAGCTGTCTCCCTCCATCCATACAGTGCAGGAAAAGGAGGGGCCTAAGGTGACCTCCAAGGGTCACTTTGGTGTTAACATCCCCAAGTGCATTTGCGCTTCAAGTTTGTGCACATCAGCACGTCCTGGGGCCTGCTGGCTTCAGCTGTCAACCTTACACATCTGGGAAGATGTCAATTGGGGGATTTCCTCTATCAGACTGGCCTATGGGTACGTCTGTGAGGCATTTTCTCAACTGTTGATGTGGGAGGGCCCAGTCCACTGTGACTGGTGCCACCACTGGGCAGATGGCCCTGGGCTGTATAGGAAGCAGAGAGCACCAGGGGAGCAAGCCAGTAAACAGCATTCCTCCATGGTCTGTATGTCAATTCCTACCTCCAGGTTCCTGCTCTGAGTTCCTGCCTTGGCTTCCCTCAAGGATGGACTGTCACTTGAAAGTATAAGATACAATAAACCTTTTCCTCTCCAAATGTTTTCGGTAAGAGTGTTTTGTCACAGCAGTAGAAAGCAAACTAGGCCAGGATGTCCATGGGCGTCCATCTTACGCTTCAGCAGAAGGGTGACTTCTTCTCCCAGAGCTCAGCTCACACCTTCTCCCTCCCTGTCTTTTCCTCCATAGAGTCAAGGCTAGGTTCCAGCTTGGGGATCACCAGCTCTCCTTCCCAGGGGCTCCACCTCCCTAGAGGCTCCCACCTTCGGGGGTCTCCCATGTATCCTGACAGGCTTGGTCCTGCTGTTCTGCTTCCTTTACTCTGCACGTTCAGGGAACACCCACTCAATGCATCCCTTTTGCTGTGGGGGCTGTGGAGACTCCCAGCCACTGTCCCACTCAGGAAGGGCTCACAGTGTGCTGAGAAAGAGACATTCCCAGTACAGAGGGACCAGAGCACAATGAGGCCACACGGTCACAGAGGAGAGGTACCAGTGTGTGTTGGGGGGACGGAATGAAGAATTGGAAGGCTGGGAGGCTGAACACAGGGGTAGGGCTGTCCCTGCTCAGTCCCACAACATAAACCCCACTCGGGACCTTGGAGGAGGATTGCCCCCACACACCCGGGGAGGAGGTGCACAGCAGGAGAGTACAGGCAGGTTCTGGAAAGCTTCCTTGTCTACCACAGGTCAAATGCACCTCAGGCATTCAATGATTTATGGGAAAAAGAGGGGCTAGGATAGCTCAAACGCAGCCCAAAGAGATAAAACACGTCCCAACAAGGAAAGACTCAGCAGAGTATAAGGATAGTGTGGGGGACCCAAGGTGGGAAGTAGGGGGGACATGACCTTCGGGTATCAGAGAGAGTGAATGTCATTACCAGTTGTCTTCTGAAAGGTCCCTCAGCTAAGAGTCACTGTGTGTTCCGTATTTGCTACCAGGAGGACCTACACCGCAGTACCTAATTTAACTCTGGGTCCACTTGGGCAGAAGTGCCCAATAAGACAGAGTCAGTCCCAAAGTGGTCAGTACAGAACCAGCTGGGTGCCCTCTGGACCTCAGCCCCATTGTCTGACCATGAGGATGAAGCTGGTATCCATCTGCTTTGTAAGGTCTCAAACAGTGAAGAGCTTGTCAAGCATGACCCCCTGCTGGTTTTATTTTGCATGCGACAAAGCTGATGTAGGAAGAAACTTGATGATAAGGCAGTCAAGTCAGACCTGGGTGCTCTCTGCTCAAACCTGGTGCTTTTCCCTGCTGTGTTCCTTGACCCCCAAAGCAGCACAGAGGGGTGACCCTGCTCCATCTTTTAGCCAACAGAGTGGGAAAGCGCCCAGCAGTGACTGCAAGTGTGGTAGCCAGTCAGGGTGGCCTTCCTTAGGCAGAATGATCATACTAGTAAGGAGGGGGACTTGTGTGGTCAAGAGGCAAAGAGGCTCAGACCAATGCAAAGCTCCCATTAATCAGTAGTTTTGCAAATCCCACTGTTAGACCTGGGAGCCATTGCCTAAGTCTGGGGTTTGTCCCCACCATCCTGCTGGGACCCATCCAAGGCTTGCTTGTATGGACTTGAGCTGACCGAAGCCTGAGGCCCACCCTGGACCCTTGTCATATACAGGCTTGCACATTTGAGAGGTGACCTAGCGTGGCAGTCACAAGTGCTGACTCTAGAGCCAAACTGTTGATGTTTCATCCTGGTAACACTTGCTGGGTGTGTGGTGCTGGGTGGTGGCTTCACCCTCAGTGCCTCAGTTTTTTCATCTAGAAAGTGGTGGGCGGGGCTGCACCGAGGGCTGACCAGGTCCATAGGCACCCAGACAACAACACCTGTTGTTACGTGCAGAAGGGTGCCTTGGCCACACCACTGGCTAAGCTTTCAGAAGCAGATAGAACCAGGAATTATTGCTCTTGGGGAGTGAAGCTGTGGGCTGCCTTGCGTCCCAGACAGGTTGGTGGATGTGAGCTGGTACTGTCCTTCCATCCAGGTCTGTGCCAGGAGAGTCCTGTCAGTACAGGGCCTGAGCCAGGCACAGTCTGAGAAGAATGTGACAGGGTCCCTGGAGACATTCCTGACAGCATGGAGGGGAAGAAAACTGAAAACCATGAGTGGGAGCGTGGGTCACATGGTGACCTGGGAAGATGCAGAAGATCCCCTGGGATGAGGGCTGTGGGTGTTAAGCCATTGAGGACTCACTATGAGCTCCTTCCTGGGAACTGCCTGAGCCAAGGGGGCTATGGCACCCAGAGATACCCTCCTGAGGACCTGTTCTTGCCCAGAGTCCAGCGCAATCCCAGCCTCCACAGGACATTTGCTGGCAGCTCCAGAGCTCCCCAGGGGACCTGCCAGGCCTCTGCTGTGACAGCCACACAGCCCACTCCTCCCTCACCAGGTCCCTGGTCCCTGATTCCCTCATTAGCATTGGTGCTGGTACCTCAGCACTACAAGCACTACAGTCAGCAGTAAGGAATTGGGGGACTTCCCTCTGGAGGGGCAGGGGTAGGGGCATGTTCCTGTTTCCAGGTTCAGGGAGCAGCAGCACCTTCCCATGGTTCCCTCTATTTCCAGCATGGCGCTGCCTTTCCTCTGACCCCCCACCCTCCTCTCTCCTCTAAAAACACTGTGGATAACCCAGGCCCAATCTCAAGGTCCTTTGTCACCTTTGCAAAGTCCCTCTGCCATGCAAGGCTCGGCTTGCAGATTCCAGAAGGGGAGGTGGGAGCCCTTAGGCAGGCAGTGTCCTGTTACCCTAGCACTCTCCCCTCAGCAGGCCCTTTTCACAAACCCTGGCTTGGTGACATCCAGGCCTAGGAGCCCAGCCGCTGGAAGGCCCCCTGGAAACACACCTGAGAGCCTTGCAGGCTGCTGGGGCGCCAGGTGGGGGGAATGAGTATTCCAGGGCTTAGCTGCTGGGGTCAGGTGAGGACTCCATATGGCTGGAGTGTGTGGAGCTGAAGGCCCAGCTAGCTTGTGGGGACATGGGACACGGGAGATACCTGAGGTGGTAAAAGGCTAAGGCTGTGGTTCAGAGCACTCCTAGGGATGGAGAGAAACAAGAGGAAACTTCTAGAGACCCCCCCCCATGAGATGGGATAGAGTGGAGAAGTGTGTTTTAGACGGGTTGGGGTGAGGCTGGGTAGGGAGAGAGAGCTTGGGGGTGAGGCTGGTTAGGGACAGACCAGGGGCTTGAGCTTCAAGACTGTCCCCTGGCAGGACAGATATGCCCCCATGCTGTGTCCTCAGAAAGTCTTGCCTCAGGTCTCTATACAAAGGCCCCACTCTCTGGGCACCTCCAGGTAGAAGGACACTAGTGGGCCCTTCCAGCTTCAGGACATGAGGAGTCACAGATTCCACAGGCAGAGAACAGAGGGGCTGGTGAGAATTTGCAGCCAAGCCTGGGATGCTGGAATAGCAAAAGGTACCCGTGTCAGCCTCCTCTAAACCCCAGAGATGGAAATATACCTTCCACCTCCAGGCTACCTCCAATAAATTCTCCATGTTGGAAAAGAACAGAGTTTCAGTCACAGAACTGTAATATCAGCACGGGGTGATCTGTCCCCATCACACACTGGAAATTCACCTAACATTTGACATGAACAGAATTCATCTACAAGGAAAGAAAACATGACTGTTCTTGATAAGTAGAAAGACCATCACTGCCATGGGTGTGTTACTAGGGTAAAAACAGCTCACTAACAGAGTCACTAGATGGGTGGTGTTTTCCATACAGCTATTTATGTTCAGCACTCTATGTGGTTCCCTCAGCTAACATCACTCTATGCTTCTGCCACCCACTTTCCAGAGGAGGAACCTGAGGCTCCATCCTCGCTGAGAGGCAAAATGATGGGGCCAGACTCCACATGGGCTGGAGTTCAAAGCCAGGCTCTGTACTTCACTGATGGGCACCTGGGGGCAAGTACCATCACTTCTCCATCTTCAGCCTCCCTATGGGAAAAATAAGAATCCTGCAACAAGTCTGGGGTACACTCTGCTGGTTGCCTACTCAGAGGCCATCTCTGTGGGGTCTCTCCCTCTCCTCGCAGGTCGCTGGCCACCGGTCCACGAGGACAAGGGGAGCAGAAGCGATGAGCGGGGTCAGGACAGCCAATGAGCACTGATGGAAGAAAGCCCTTCCGGGGAAGCAGGTTCAACGATGCAAACAGCTCCAGACTCAGTGAAACAGCTCCATTTATTCAGTGGGAGAACTAGGGAAAATATAGTGTGGAGGCAGTAGCCAATGCCTCAGCTGATAGGTGCTCATAGTATGCTTTATTTACATGTGGCAGTGGGCTCCTATCGTCCAACTACCAGGCAATGCCTGATTATCATATAGAAAAAACCTGGGGGTAGTTTTTACTCCAGGTAACTATGCCAAAGGTCATGTTCCAAATAAGGTCAGGCATCCATGCTTGGTGGCACTTTCCAGGTAAGTCAGGAAGAGAGCAGGAGGCCCCCTGCTGAAAAGGGGAGTCCTTCCATTTGGTGCCGAGCCCCTTAAGAGCTATCCGGACATGGAGGACTACAACCCTAACAACAGGGTTTCCCAACACATCTCTTGTCCTGTCTTGCTTTGAGCCCTGAATCTGTCCAGGGAGCCACAGGAGCTTCCCCAGGAGTCTGAACCACTTCCTTCCCCTCCAGAGGACCTAGGTGGTTCTTAGCCAGTTTTAGCTGAGAGACATGGTAGGGGGCACCTGGTAGGGATTCACTCTGAAAAAAGTCATTCACTCTGAAAACAGAGAGGTAAGACAGAGACAGCTTCCTCCATCCACAGTTCTGGACACTGTGAGAGGCTGTAATGGTAGGTGCAGCGGCTACAGCTCTGCAGTCATAAGGCAAAAGCCAACAGCAAGAGGCAGGGAACATCTGCCTCCTGGCCAACCTGCCTGGCAGGCTACCTGGCCTACACTGCTGAGGAGGGTAATAAACACCCTTCATGCATAAGTTCCTGTGACCCAGAGTTTCTGTTATCTGCAGTCCAAAGCATTCCTAATTCGTTCCATCCTTCAGAGCTGTGGTGAGGATTAGGGTGTCTGGGCTCCTTGATTCCTCCCTAGTTCCTGCAGTCCATCCCCCCAGCAGCACCCTGAGCCGACAGGTGACACCTAACACACATCTGGTCCTTCTTCTGTTTTTGACTCCCCAGGCACTGCTGATCACCGATGCCTTCTGCCTCGGTCCTCTGTAATTTCAAAAAGGTCCCCTGGGAGCCCTTTGCCCATAGGATGGCGACACACACGGACACTGCCCCATCATCTCTTAATGAGAGCTTCCCTGTACCCTCTAAAACCAACACCACTGTGCACTGAGCCACCCTTGGGTTGTTTCCCCCTTTGGTACAGTATGCCACACACCATTTGTATGCCAGCATCCCTGCATCTTGCCCACACACTAGGGCGTCACCTCTGTCTGGATGGTGGGCATCTTTGTTGTTCACAGTGGTATCTTTAGTGCCCATCAGAGGAATTTGATCAATATTCTAGAGGGAGCACTATGAAAGGCACCTACTCCACCTCTGTTTTTGATAGCTGATGCTGTTATTAGAATTAATTACCAAGTGCCCTGCATTTCACTCTGTGCTTATGTGCATGGTTATTAATCCCTGAAACAGACTGCTGGGATGGTCCTCCAGTAATGTACAAGGATACTTAGGTGGCCACTCAGCATTAAATGGCTTGTTCAAGGTCACAGTGTTAGAAAGTTCTAGAACCCTTCTGCAGGCTTCACCTTGCTGCTGCTGAGGTGGAAGCCACTGTTCCTTCAGTACTAGGCTGGTCAGTCCTGCTTCTCTGTGAGGTCTGTGGATAGCTGTGAGCAGAGAGGGCTTGGCACAGCTGTTGCAGACTCTAACTACTCATCTCAGACAGAGGCTGTGGAGTGAAACCACAGTGGAGCCACACTGTGGCGGCCCCAGTAAGGCAAATGACCCATAGGGGAGTAAATGGCTGCTCTGCTTGTCACAGATGCTAAGACACCTCGTGCAGTGGGTGATGCAGCCTACAGTCTACCGCTGTGCAGAATCCTGCCCTGAAAGGCCACAGCCAGGGGACACTGAAGGACTGGAGACAAGCAGAGTGGAAAGGAGGTCTTCTCAGAAGTCATTCACCAGCAGTGTGGCCTGGGGCAATTCACGCTCATCAGGACTAATGATGCCATCTTGGTGTCTGCCTCTGCAAGAACTGCACAGCTCTGGCCTCTGAGCCATGACACTCTACTGCAATCCTGAAACTGCAGCCCTGGGGTAAACAGCTAGCCCAGAGGCTGGACTCTATCAGCGGATGAACGACCCCTCTCAAATAAAAAGGGAAACAGAGTATGAGCTCTGTGGCCAACAGAGAGCCTTGTAGAACCCCAGAGCCCAGTTCTGAGTGTCCAGGATGCTCCACATGGGCCAAGGCTGAGCATCACAGAATCCAGGAACAAAGGGGTCCTCATCTCAACCTGCTCCCCCAATGGGTAGGAAGACACCAGCCTTGGAGAAGGGTCTGGAAACCTGCGCATTCCCTCGTCTCTAAAAAGCCCATGGTAACGCTCGCTCTCCCTCCCATGCAGCTACCCTCCCTGCCCTTCCATCTTTCTGCCTGAGCACATCCCAGACTGGAACGACATAAACACCATTTTCCACTGCAAGTTGCTTCTAGGCACAAGTGGGCTCAATGCAGGAACCCTCACCCTGCATACATGCACTTGGGGAAGGTAAGAGCCAACAGAGATGGGGACCTTTGTACAGGGTCTGTTTCTGCTTTTAGTTCTCTTTGGCTATATAGAACCAGCAACATAGTCAGCAACTCCAGAATGGTTTAGCTTGTCCTTGGCTACTTCTTCCCTTTGTTAAAAGAGTATGGGCTCTTTCACTTTCAGGAGGCTGCTGAAAGTCTCTGCATACCTGGACTCTGGTCTGCCCATCTCCTCCTATGGTCTGTACCCAGGGGAAAGCATACTCCCATGCCTGTACCACTCGCAGGCAGGCATCTCAGTCCGGGGCTGCAGAGTCAGACAGTACCACTCAGGACCAGTGATGCTCTTTCGAACTTCTGTGCCACCATCACACTGTCCCCTCTGTCTTTCGCTTCCTCTCAAGGCCTCCCCTTCAGGCCTTCTCCAGGAATTCTGCCCCAATCCTTCTAAGAGGCTGGGTCTCCCTCCTCTACACCGGAGAGAACCTCCCTTTCACGTACCTCATGGAATGTGCCAGAACAAGTCCTTCTCTGGATGGAGATTCTCCAGAGGCACCCTAAACACACCACCTCACACTGGTGTGGTGGAACAGGGTGATAGGTAAGATGGAGGTTTGGAGCTAGACAGCACTGGCCTTGCTTGGACTCTGTCCCAGCTGTGACCTGCAGAAACTGTCATCACTCTGCTAAGGTGTCACATAGAGGTCCACAGTGAAGACAGATGAAGAAAAGGTTGACCCTTGTTAGGGTGACTGATGGCAGACAAACAACAGACACTGATGAGGAGGCGGAGACACTGGGAACTTGAGTGCTGTGGGTGGAATGAAACGGCGCAGCTGCTGTGGAAAAAGGCAGTTCCTTAAAGTGGTCCAGTACCAAAGCCCTCACCAGATGTGGGCTCCACGCTCCTGGACTTCCAGCCTTTGAGCCATCAGCCCAATCAGTCTTGTCTGTAAACTACCCAGTCAGTGGTGCATGTATTGCCACAGTAGAAAAGAGACAAAGGTGCAGGCCTTCCCTATCCTGCTGGCATATGTTCCTTTCTGGGATCTTGCCTCTCAGCCCCCTTCCCTCCATCTCTCTCTAGCTGCCTCCCAGGCCCGTGTCTCTTTTTCTTTTTCTTTTTTTCTGACATAACATTGCCAGGCATACCTAGGTGCTGAGGGGCCCACCTGCTGTGGTGCTGAGGCTCAGATTCTTGGTCAGTAAGATGGAAATGATGACAAATACCCTGCAGGTGGCCTTGAGCCCTGCAGAGTGCTCAGCCATGGGAGTTCAGGATTAGCAGCAATTAGAGCACTGAACTCTGGCCCTGCCCAGGAAAGAGGCTCTAGAAAGTGATGAAGCTGCTTCTCTGTTAAATACTGCAAGGCTGGTCTTGTCCATGGCCCAGGTCATGGGCAGCACCCCTCAAGGTGGCCTAGAGGGGGCTTCCTTAGTGGAAAGGTACAAGGGATCCCCATCTGGCTGTTGCCACATACATACCAGTAAGCCACCAGGGCAGTGCTACCTCCCCAGAAACCACTGCCATCTCCCTGTGTCCTTCATATTGATGTTTGAACAAAGAATACAAACTGCATTAAATAAATGTTATGGTCTTATTGACAGGAAAAAGAGAGCTGAGCAAGAGTCTCTGAGGGAAGGCACTTGGCCCCAAGACGTAAACTGAGTGCTACCTGGCTATGAGGATCAAGGTCCTGAAACAGCAGAGAGCTGCCTGGAAGAGTCTCAGTTATTCTTGGTCCCAGGAGCACCTGTACCCAGAGAGGTGAAGGGCCATTTCAATCTTTTCCCCGCTTCTTTTCCATAAGGAACAGCCCGTTTCCTGGAAGAGAAGGAGGCTCTATTGTCTGGACTCAGGTTACAGCACCCCATGGTGCCTTAGGCAACTACCCCTCCCCCACCAGCTAGAGTGCTAGTGGTTCTGTCAATCAAGGTGCCAAGGCATCCTGCCAGCCAATCAGATACTCTCTCCTTGGAATAGGAGTCTGAGGGGAAGGACACTGGGTCATGGGGGGTGGGGTCCTTCTGGAGGTTTACCCCGAGGTTCATCAGCTCCAGTTCTGGGACTGCTCATATCCTTCCAGTACATTCCCAAGTCACAGGGTCAGCCAAGTTTGTTTCTGTTGTTTTTAGCCCAAGACCCACACTGCCCAAAGCTCTTCCAGGAGCAGAATGTGGGCTGTGAGCTGCCCACGGTTGGGTCTGGACCCCTGCAGAGTTCAATGTATATAAAGTTCAGGTATAAAGGCATGCCACAAGCTCTCTCTTCATCTGTCCTGGGGAACTAGAGCAGGGACCTGCTGTGACCCAGCTTCAACCATTAGAAGGTACCACACACTAGGAGCTGGTGGATGGTAGGAATCTATATCGCATAGTAAGTCCTAGAGCAGAGTTGTCCACCAGACCAGAATGCCACCCCCCCCTCTGCTGTGGGAAGAGGACTCGGATTTATGCTACTTTACAGTGGCAGCTTAACCCAGAGACCAACACATACCATACAGGTTAGAAACCAGGCAGGAAGCTCTAACCCTTAGGAAGGACTTTGAGGAGACATGGCCACAGAGCCAGGCCCTTCCTTTTAGCCTCAAGGGAACTCCTGGGTGTGCAAGGAGCTTGGAAACTCAAAGTCTCCCCAATCCCACTTCCCTTTCCCCCTTTATGTCCCAGCCAGACCTCACCTTTTTCTCATCTCCACTCTGCAGGAGGTGCAGGGCACTCCTTCGGTCACCCTCATGCTGTCTCAAGGTGTTGCCATGGGGCTGGGGCAGGCTGGATGGTGGGGAGGTGCTACGGCCTTGTGGATCCACCCAGGTATAGATGTGGTTAGTGACATAGCCCCCAGGGATGCGCCCAGCTGAGTACACAGATAGCACCAACTTCTTGGAGCCCTTGAGAGCCTGGAGAGAGAAAAACACAGTTAGAGGGAAGGGGGCACTCCCACCCTGCCACGATGTCACCTTCTATCAAGAATCAACAAGTGGAGGAGGAGCCTAGCCCTCAAGTCCTGACTTTACCCTAAACCCTAGTATTGGCCTGTAGAAATAGGGTCATCCCATTCAAAGAGGTCCAAATACAAGGAACTTGAACTCTCGGGATACTCGTGCAGAAAAGTGAAGCCAGGAGGCCTGAGGCTTATGCTTAGAAGGCCTGCATTGGGGGCTGGCCAGATACTGGTGTTTGGGGTCTAGTAGCTTTGGAGTATTCTCAGTACAGAAGCTCACCGTGCACACTGCTCATCACATAATGTGGTTAAGTCGAACACCTAGTCCCCTTCTGCAATCTGGAATGGGGGTACCACAGAAGTGTCTATGTGACTGGCTCCCAGTAAACCTTGAGTGTGGTCTAATGCACTTCCCAGAAATGGTATTGCACACATGTTGTCACATCTTGATGCTGAAGGAATGGATGCATGACCTGGGTGACACTTTGAGAGGGCTCTAGGAAGCTTGGACCACCTCTGGACTTCACCAGTGTCTATCCCCACCTCTCCTCCATGTTCATTTTCCTTTGTAGCTGTTCATAATAAAGATGAGTCATGAATTCAAGGTCAGTTAGCACCCCCCCCATATCTAGTTTACCATCCACAGATTCAACCAACAATAGATCAAAAGTATTTTCTAAAAGTTGCATCTTGGGAGTTGGGGAGATGGCTCAGTGGATAAAAGCACTTACTGTGCAAATATGAGGACCAGAGTTCAAATCCCTAGAACTCTCATAAAAGCTAGGCACATGTGGCATTCTCCTGTTATCTCAGCCCTCAGGAGCAGAGACAGGCATCCCAGGGCAAGCTGGCTGGCTAGACTAGCAGATTCACAAGCTCTGGGTTGACTTGAGAGACCCTGCCTCAATAAATAGAGTCACCGAGAAACACACCTGACATCAACTTAGGGCCTTTATGTACATGTACACATACATCTGTGCACACCCACCTACAAACATGTGAACATGCACACACACATACATACACACATTTAATTTTTTAAATCTGCATCTGTCCCAAACATGTACAGACTTTTTCTAGTCGTTAGTCTCTAAATACGTAGCATAGCAGCTATTCACACAGCATTAACTTGTATTGGGCATAAGAAATCTTCTAGAGGGCTGGAGAGATGGCTCAGCGGTTAAGAACACTGGTTGTTCTTGCAGAAGACCCGGGTTCGAATCCCAGAACCCACATGGCAGCTAACAACTGTCCATAACTCCAGTTCCAGGGGCTCCGATAGCCTCTTCTGTCCTTCACAGACATTGCACAACATGGGTGCGCTTACCTACATGCACGCAACACACGCATACACATAGAATAAATAATAAATAAAATATTAAAAAAAGAACTCTTCTAGAGATAATTTAAAGTCTACAAAACATGTGGGCTGGTTATATGCAAATGGTACATCATTAAAATTTTTATTATATTTGTATGTGCATGTGAGTGTGTGTGTGTGTGTGTGTGTGTGTGTATGTGTGTATGTGGGTGAGGAGTGTGTGCATGTGTGCCATGGTACATGTGTGCCATGGTGCATGTGTGGAGGTCAGAAGACAACTTGTGGAAGTCAGTTCTACCCTGCCACCATGTGGGTCCCAGTGATCAAATTCAGGATGTCAGGCTCGACAGTAAGTGCCTTTACCCACTGAACCACCCCACCAGCCCCATACCATTTTACAAACAGGTTGTGAGCATTGGCAGATTCTGGTACCAAGTTGTCATAGATTCTTGGGAACAGACATGTGTGCTAAACCTTGTGAGCCTTTTTAATCATTGAACTTGACAGTGGTCTTAAGATCCCAATAAAAAACTATACAACAGAGCAAAACATGGGCAGGAGTGATGGCTCAGTGGTAAAGAACACTGGCTGTTCTTACAGAGGACCTGGATTTGGTTCCTGGCACCCACATGGCCAGCTAACACCCATTCTTAACTCCAGTTTGAGGAGATCTGACACCCTCATCTGGCTTCCACAGGCACTGCATACATGGGTACACTTACATACATACATGCAGGCAAAACATTTATACACATAAAAAAAGAAATAAAAAAAGAGTCAAAAACAAAAACATTGATGACAACAGCTGAACACTTACAAAGGATCTAGGTGTGGCAAACACGCTGCTCCACCCCTGGCATGTACCGTCATGGAACCCCACCATGAGGGTGGAAAGGGATCTGTTACTCAGATGAAGAAAGGCAGGAACTCTCTACTCACACAGATAGTAAGAGCTTCCTTTCATACTGCTATTAATTCCAAGTATAGACACCACCTTTGCCGTATAATTTTCCAGTACAGGCATGAGTAACACACCGAACAGTAAGTCAAACTTTACACTCTAGTGTAGAAGCCGAGATCACCCATACTGCTTTCCCATAAGGCACCTGTAGTGGAGAGGAAGGCACATACTTAGGAAGACAGTCACTTCACACTGGATTAACAGCAAACATCTCAGATTAGAGATCGTGTGTATCTCCTCCCAAAATCAGACATGAAGCCCTATTTCCCTGAAGATGTCTCTGGGAAGTGATCACAGGAGGATGAGGTCATGAAGATGGAGCCTTTGGGATGCAACCAATGGCTTTGCAAGACTAGTAGGTCAGGAAGAAAGGGGGGGGAGAGGGAGGGAAAGAGAGGGAAGGAGGGAAGGAGGGAGAGAGACACAGAGAGACAGAGACTGACTCACTCTCCTCTACACAGGACCTAAGAACAAAGTGGCCCTTTGCAAGCCTGGACGCTCACCTGATTCACACTGGCATGCTGTCTCAGGCTCTAGCCTTAAGAAACTAAGCAAATCAATTCCTACAGCATAAGCCACCCACTCTGTGGTATTCTACTTCAGCAGCCCCAGCTGACAATGCACCCCACAACAGAGGCCGGTCTGATTCAGTGATGGTTTCGATAGGTATTGGACTTGGATGATGCCATGAAAACCATACTGACAGAGGGTTTGCAAAGCCATGCACGTGATACATTTTAATGTTAAGTGGGGTTGACAGGCTACAAATCATGGTTCCAACATGATCTCAGTAGTTACGTCAGGAGAAAGATCATGTAAGAAAAACAAAACAGAAGAGTGAGCCTGTGTGTGTTCCCAGTTCCTCCCTCTGGTGTGGAACTGCAGGTGGCTGGCATTTTGCTTTTCCTTTTTTTTTTTTTTTTTGCAGTGTTTTCCAAATGTTCCAATGAAAGTTCACTGCTTTCAATATGAAGAAAGACTAATATCTCTAAAAGGGGGGATACCAAGTGGCTGGCTGGCTTCAATCTGATGCTCTGGGTTCTATGAACTTCACAGCACTCAAGGGGCAGTTGGGATGAAAGCTAAGGCTTCTTTCAACAGCAAGGGGTCCTGGTTGCCAGAGGGCTCCACCAAGTGACCTCTCCCAGAGGGGGAAGGGCAAGTGGAGGCGCCTGGCTCTCCATGCCACTGGTGGAGAGTTAACGAGAGCATGGCAGCTCTCCAAAACTCTGCTTCTAAAAAGAATTCTTGAGATGAAGAGCAGGGAAAGATTTACAGTGTTCTCGAGCATTCCCTGAGGCTCCCCTGGCAGAACAGTAGAGACAACCAAACCTCTGTTCAGCAAAATGAACAATGAGTCTCAGGACACAGGTGACATCAGAAATTGAGGCCGCCACACCCTCCTTGACTCTTTTTCCCATCTGATGCTCCCTGTTCCATGAGGACAAAGTTCCTCTGCTCCAATGCTGTTCTGACTAGCCTGTCTCTTCCTAGGCACTAAGCTCTGCCATTCACCCTTCAAGGACCAACCGAAAAACCTACTGTGTGCTAGACCTAAAAGGAACAAAGCATAAAGGGTAGCAAGGGACCATGCACTGCCTGGCACACAGTAGGCCCTCGTGACACTTAAGTTTGGCAAGATAGGTATTATCAGGGGCACAGCAAATTCTCACAATACTTGGGTTAGGTGAATGGCAGGCATTGTGGGACACATAGTAGGTCCTCATGATACTTGTGCCTTAGGAGACAAAGCATCTCCTGGTACACAGTAGGTTCTCGTGAGGGATAAGGCAGAGGTAGCATAGTAGGTCCTAATGATGCCTGCAGTCTGGTGACAGACAAGGCATCATCCAGCACACAGTAGGCATTCATGATACGTGCATCCAATGGGGTAAAGCAGTGCCTCTGCTACACCATATGTCCCTATGACACTTCCAAAATGGTGAGAACGGTCTAACCTGACTGGGTGAGACCATAAACAGGACCCCACAGAAATCATAGCCTCTACAGGCACCACTGTGTAGTCGTGTCCCCTGGAGGGTTTGCTGAGGTGGGAACAGGGACAACAATGGGAGGCACATGTAGACTGCTCAGGCTGGCAGGTGTCAACTCACACTCTGCTGAGAGGACAGCATTATGCATAAATGGGGGGAGGGACATACCCTCCAGGGTGACATGGGCCAAATGAGACTGTGGGCATGAAATCCAGGGCCTCTGCACACAGTAGGTGCTCAGCAGATGGCAGAGGTCCCTCCTCATAGGAGTTTCCATGGAGAAGGAAACCACAGAGAAGCACCGTCTGAGGAGTGAGAAAGGAAAGCAAGGGAAGAGCAGGCAGGCCACGTGAGCATCATTTGTATTCTTTCTTGCAGGCAACTGGTCGACTCCTCTTGGTCAGCTCTATAAATAGGCGAGCAGCAACCTTGAGAAAGAGAGGAGGTTAATGCCTTTAATGAGAACTCCATGGAGAGCTGGTGCTGCAAAGGTACAGCCTGAAGTGCCTGGCTCAGAGGTCACTCAACTCTCCAGTCTGCCTGTCCCTATATTTTACAGAAACAGTCCTAAAAACCTGAGAGGGGAAGGGACAGAAGGAACACAGGTCAGGACACTGCTCAGAACACAGGGGGCCAGCCCCGAGCAAGTGCCTGACCTTCTGAACCTCATTTTCTCCCCT